GGGAGTGACCCTAAGTATGTGTAACTACGTGTGTACATTTATACTGTAAACATGTACAGGTGCAGAAAATGCAACTGTGGGAGCGGGGTGTTACCCAGCAGCCCACCCCACCAGGCTTGCTGAGGCTCCTGGAAGATGTCACAGCTTCTTGTGATTCAGAGGGAGTAGGAGAGCAGAAAGGGAGGAGGCCAGAAATTAATGGGGAAAAAGGGATGGAGGGTGGAGGAGAGAAACAACTGAACTAGACAGACAGAAGGCGGCTATTGGGGGGTGGGGTGGGAGGGGAAGCTGGAAGAAGTGGATGGAGGAGGGAGAGAGGAGAGGCTGATGAGCACTAACGGAAGTTGGGTAGAGAAAGAGAAGGGAGGGAGACTTCTGATTTTCCTCTTCTCTTCCTCAGAGGTGGAGACGAGAGATGGTGCAAACTTAGGGCTGAAGCCCCCCACCTCCCATGGTCTCTCCCGGTAGGTCCTTTGGCTGGGGAGGGGCATGTATCTGCAGCCAAGTTGCTGCTTCCCCCACCATCCCCAGCTGGAACTGACCCAGACTGCCAGTCACCTGCCAGAGCTATTTCTGGAATGTAGAATCTGGGTCAAAAAGGAGGAGGGAATGAGGGGGAAAAGAAGACTGCAGCACTGGCAGCTGGGAAGCTGGCCAGCTCTGAGTGGGTGGATGGGCCTGCAGCTCCACCCTCATGGCCACTACAGGGGGGCTCACCCCTTCCAGGCACGCACTGCCTCAATAACTGTCCCTCGCCTATTTCTCCCCATGACCCTGCATGTGGCCTGAGTGCACTCATGCCCTTATGTAACATAGAAATTTCATGAGCCTCAGCAACTTGGGGGCTCAGACAGCCCTGGGTGGCTGGCAGGGTCCAGACCTGCTTGCTTATTCCTTGGAGACAGATGCTCAGGAGTGAAACCTGAGGGGAGACCATGACTGAGTGAAGGTGTGCCTGTGTGTCAGGTATGTCCCTGGGTGGGGGGAGGCAGTCACCATGATGGGTATGCACGTTTGACATGGATGAAGGATGCCACCTATGAGGGGGGCACATAATTGAATTATAATTGAATTATATTCAATGACATAATTGAATTATATTCTTATTACACTCAATTTATGGGAGATGGCAATAAAAAAACCTTATTCTAATAAGAATTGTGCATCATGCTAGTTAAGTGTCATAGCGGGAGCACCCTTTCCTTAGTAGCTGCAGCTCTGGGCACAGGTATAAAAATCTGGTGGCTTTCATTTCCCCCATGAGGCAAGTAGGTTTACAGGGTGAACATGAGGGGATCGAGTAGATCATGTAGGCTATAGACAGTATATGGTGGTCATCTGGGGGAGGGGGTATGTGGATATGTGTGGGTGAATATTTTTGGTGCCTCCAATCGGCTAGAGATTGGTAAGAAGTGAGAAGGTGGTGTGAACTTTGAAGGAGACGTGCAGGTGCCAGTTGTACGTAAAGCTCTGGTGTATATGAGAATATCAGTAAGCGTGTTTTAATGTGCCTTCCTATCATATATAGGCCTAAGGGTACAAATCCTTGTGCATGTGTATGAGCAGGTGCATATGCACATGTCAGAGTAAATGTGAGATGCCGCTACATGACACCTCCTTTAGTGTCTTGGTTTGGGCTAGCTACAGCCCTCAAACTAAAAATAACTGTTGGAGCCCCACATTTAAAATCAAATGTTGGGTCATCCATAAGAGATGCACTGAGGGTGGGGGACTGTGACTGACCGAGTTACTGACTTCCATTCTCACTCCTTCCCAGTAGTCATGCCATTTGCTGTTGTAGTTTCTGCCACAAAAGCTGGAGTCTACTTCCTGGATTTTGGCTCTGACATCACGTGACTTTCTTTAACCAATCAGATGTTAGCAGATGTGCCCCAGAGACTTGAAATGCACTTGCACGGGGAAGTTTGCCTCTTATACTTATGCCATACCCTGGCTTGGGCACCGATTCCAGGAGCATGCTTGGTTCCAGGAGGAGGATGTAGAATATGCAGAGAAACCCGTGAATGAGAACTATTGCATAGTATTTTGCACCACTAAAATCATGTGCTTGCATTTTACACAGCACTGTTATGACAAAAGATGTATAGAAACCGGTGTATAGAGTGAGGTCTGTTAGCAGTAAAAATGAAAATATGTAGCATATTGCTCTGGGACCAAAAGGTGAACAATGAGTAAACTGTTACAGGAAGCTTGAACAGAGGTAATGCAGATTATTACATAGAGACAAAATAGTTGGTTAAACTGTCAATCTACAGTGCAGTCAGAATGACCTTTTTGTCACCAACAGGCAACATACACAATCCCTATGCAATTTAGGTATATAGTATTATCCCTTCTGTGCTTGTGGGTACATGCTATAATATTTGCACAGCGACAAAGTCATTTAACAATACATTTCTTAGAAGAGATCCCTGTCAAATGACTATTAAATAAAGGGGGCAAATGGATTTGGGCAAAGGTTTCCAGGTAAAATGTTGAAAGCAAGAGTTGGCTCTTTTGGGTTACGTATGATAAGGACTTAAAAGAAAAAAGAACTCATCAAAGAAATAGTGAGTGTTGTAGGGGAAGCTTAAGGGGAATACAGAGAGCCCAGAAATTGCTGAGTTGGAAAATACATGTCAACTCCAGCCCTTCCAGCCAGTGAATCATTCTCAAAATTAAGATATAGCCTAGGGACAAAGATCAAACCATGATCATGGCCAGTTAAGATGTAGCTTGTGAACCAGATCAAATCAAGGGTGTGATTATAACATTTTAAATTAATGCTCTCAGATAATAAGACACCAGCTAATAGATGTTCTCAGCTGTTCAACAGGCTTCCGGAAAGCTTAGACTTGGCCTCACAGAAGCCTTATACACCCAAAGTAGTGGTGATTGAATCTAGAGTAACTGACATGATTCAAAAATAATTGTGGGTATGGCTTTGGCACATGGAGTTAAGTGGAATCAGATACACAGAAACTGCATAAAGTATTTGAGGTAGGTGCATGGTCAAAGCTATGTTCATCTTAGGCTAAAGGGGTGGAGAAAAAGGTAAAAACAAAAACAAAAAACAAAACTAGGTCCCTGCAGTGAGCAGGTTCAGAAAGCTGTTCAGCTGCCCAAGAGGCACTCTCTTAGGAGAGGCCAAAAAAAAGGCTAATGGAAAAGGAAGGGCTTTAGAGCAGAGCCAAGAGCTGTGAGAACAATGCCTTAGGGAAATCTACCCCAGGGAACAGAGTTTATGCCTACAAGGAATATTCCTTATTCCAGACTATTCACCCAACATTTGCCTAGAAGGACTTTAGAATTTGTCACCGATCAATTAACTCTCTATCCCCTAAGCTCCCCCTTTCTGAACAGGTGTGTGAATTTCAGTTATCCTGTCCCTTTCACCAGTGTATGTTGGGGATGGGATGGAGTGAGAGGTAAATACTTAAGTTTTAGGTCACTCACTCAAGAGCAACCACATTTAGACTTGATAAAGGTCATAAGACCTTAATGCTATGATTGAATGAGATTTTGGGGGTCTTCAGGGTAAGCACATTTTCTCTGAATAAATGTGGCTTGGGAGTAGATTATAGCAGATTGAATTACTTCCCTGATTCTTCACCCTGCCCTGTATCTATATCCCTTGCCGTCAAAATAAAGTTTGACTGTCTTTGAGTTCAGTCATACACTTGTTATGTTAGAAGATACTGTGTAAGCTGAGGCTTTGAGGCTTTGAAACGTGTTTGTGTGTTAGGCTTGCTTTCTTGTGTTTCTGCATCACCATGTCCTCATAGAAGAACATGCCCTGAACCCATGAGGACCCGCTGGCCTCAGGAAGAGGCGGCAGACATTTGGAGCAGAGCTGTCCCAGCTGAACCGCACACTTGTAAGCAAGAAACAAATGTGAATTGCAATGCACCAATTTTGTGGTTGGTTGGTGCATGGCACCACTGTAGTGACAGCTCTCAGTACAGGGACCCAAACAGTTCTGGGACATGCAGCCTCTCATCACCCATTCTCAGTTCACTTAGGAATGACTGGGCTGGGGGAGTCAGGTTAGTGGGAGTTTGAAAGGCAACAGTGACATAAAGTGGCTTCTAGCTCTGGCCCCTGCAAAGATGTGGCCAGTCAAGAAGCTGGTTTCCTGTGTAGAGACTATCCACCATGGGATTCAGGTTCATTTAGTTACCTCAAGCACCAGTTGAACACTTGAAATAGTGCTCTCTTACTACAATTCAAGTCCAACTTCCTTTGATTATTAAGGAGCTCACAGTGAAGTTTGAGAACCAGTAATAACAGCTACTACTTATCAGCTCCTATCCTGTACAGGCCCTGCCTAAAAGCTCCCTATATACAATCATATTTCATTGCCTCAAGAATTCTCTGGGGTCTGACTTATGCCTCATTTTACAGACAGGGAACCTGAAGCTCTGGGAGGAGAACTAGTTAGCCAAAGTAGGCTCACAGCTCTTTCTACTAAATCAGAAATTGTGCCGTGCTTTTCCTTGGGCTTGCTCTGTGAAACAGGTTCTTCTTTTTTTTCTGATCATTCATAAGGTTTACAATAAGTATCAGGAGGGGTAGCATGAGAGAAACCTGCAAGCCCATTCCCTTGAGAAGGTTCAGTGCAGATCCCATCCTCTCCCTGAAGGCTCTGCCCTCCCCACAGGTGTGCGTACTTGCTGCACTAATCCTAAAAGGTAGATAGGGTGTCCGTAAACCCTGCTCACCAGCAGGTGGCAACAGAGTATCCCAAAGCTTCCCCTCTCTTGAACCCCCTTAGCCCAACAGTAATAGTGTCTGACCACCCCCCTTTAAGCTCCAATTTACCAAATGGTGGCACCCACAAGACCTGCTTTTTCTCCAAATCACCCCTCCAGTTCTGGCCGGCCCACCATGGATTCCTCCCCGAGCATTTCCCACCAGCTGGCTCACCAGGAATTGCACCTGTAGTCCCCTTGCTAAACAAACAAACAACAGCCCACCTCCCTGCCCCCTTAGGTACTCACTTGGAAGCGTCCGACTGTTGCTGAGGCTGCCAGTGCTGGGTGGGGGGGAGAGGGACTGCAGGGAGACACTGTCTTCCTCCTGCGAGCAGCCTGCCTGAATGGCACGCAGGTAGCTGTGGCTGCGGGAGCGAAAGTAGCTGGGCAGAGGCAAGTCAAGAGCCTCTGCCACTGCTGACTCCGCTTCACTGCAGGCTGACTCACAGGCCGCTTCGTACTGGTCGCTCAGATCTGCGTCCCGTACCTGTGCCGGCAAAGGCAGGCATCAGGGGCCAGCTTTGCCCATTCTGGAGGGCGGGGTGCTTGGTGGTTGGTTCATTAAGCAAGGTTGGAATCTGTGGGGCCTCAACTCAGTCCACCTCCCGCCCCTCCATCTCAGAGTATGGGCTGGGTAGATGCAGCCCCTTTCACGTTTCTGGGTCTCAATTTTCCCATGCCTACAATGGAGGAAAAACCACCTGGGGTAGTTTCTAAGATATTAACTAGATTGTATTTTGTGTGTTCACACTTACCAATTAATAAATTTTGAGGTCACATCTGAATTCAGCAGGAAAGAAGACTGATCAGTCAGTAATGCCTGCCCTGCATGTTGGAATGGGGGTGGCAAGAAGTGTGCTGAATATTTACCATCTTATGGTCTACTATCTTCATTTTTCAAGCAAAGAAATGAGAGATAGTGAGGGGGAAATGCTCACTAGGAATCACCACTGGGGAAATGGTAGATTCAATACTCCAAGTATGTATTTAAATAAGATTAATCTAATCTAAACCTGGTAATATAGAGTAGGTGTTAGGTAGGAAGTCTGGAATGGAGGCAGAGGCCAGAGATGAAACTGATGCAATAGTCTGATAAAGACAGTAAGACTGGAAGGAAGGTCAAGTGGCAACGAAGTGGCAGTGAGGATTGATTAGTGATGTCTGCCACAGACAGAATGGAGAATGGTTGTGTGTATGCTAGTTATCTCACATCCAGTTTGACCTCATCTAGATGGCATCTAAGTTTCCCTCCAGAGATGACATGAAGGATCCTGCAAATATGCACCTGGGAGTGTGACCATAGAGGAGCCTCATCATCCATACACTCGCAGGGGTTCTCAAAGGGTCTTTCTGATCTATGTCTCAGGCCATTGGTAACTAAGGATCATGGAATATAAGCTGAGACATCCATCAGCTGGCCAAAGATACAGTGGAGGTCTTCGGGAAGGTCTGAGGTACAGGGTAGTGGGCTGGGTACAAAACAAGTTCACTGAGCACTGTGAGGAAGAAAAGATGGAGCCTAGGATCAGCTCTGCCATGAGCTGGCTGTAGATCTCGGGCCATCATTATCTTCTGTGTCAGTATTTCCTCATCTAATGAAATGGAATACCTGTGTACTTGTTTGGCACTGCATTAAGTAAAATGACAAGCTGGCTCATCACCCAATTTGGCCCAAATGTTTAAAAAGCTCTAAATTTGTACTGTTTAAATTAATTTAAAAATAAATTCACTCTCTAGCTACATTTCACTTGCTCACACTATCTAATGGGGTAGTATGGATTATAGAATCTATCTAAAGTTGTAGCAAATTCTATTGAACAGTAATGATAAAATGCAGGTGATGTGACTTCAATATTCACCGGGAAGAGGTAGGTATTTATCCTCCTATCAAGGTATTACCTATCAAAGAAAGAGTTACTTATTTTCCAAGTTGCAACCTGTAGTATACTTCCAGGCTCCTGCTGGGATTGCACAGTAACAGCACAGCTCTGAAATTAGACTTCTAGGGGCCATTATTCCATTGTATATGAATGTGGGCAAGCCACCTAACTGCTCTGTGCCTTAGTGTCCCAGCTACAGAATGGAGACTACTTATAGACCATATTTTGTAAGATTTTTATTAAAATTAAATGATGTAGTTCACATTGTGTGCTTAAACTAGTTGTCTGTGAGAATAGCACCTGATACCCTGTAGCTATTATTACAGGCAGTTCTGTGGGGTGAGTGCAAGGATTTGTAAATGTGAATCAAGATTTTTTTGGTGGGGATTAGCTGGTCAGTGCTATTGGTCAATGTGCATCATTGAGGTGTATGTGGGGAACTGCCCTGCATATGTTAACACATCACATTTTTATCATAAGCCTGCTAAAGTTAGAGGAGGAAGAGCTCACCTGGCCCACTGTGGGCGCCCCCAAATCTTCTGGAATAATATGTTCAAGAGGTGGTGGGGTCACACGAGGCATCCACAGCTGGCATCAGGAAATATGGTGTCAGTCCTAGTTTTGCCCCTGTAGGACATGTGGTCTTGGACAAGTCACTTAGCCACTTCTGGTCACAAGGGGTTGAGCTCAGAGCACCTTTCCTGTCCTGCTTTCTGACCTTGGGACTGGGGTCTGGCAGGGGGAAGGGGTCACTTTCATGGGAAGGATGGATATGCATGGGGGGAACCTTTAGGGCAGTCAGAAAATGCTAGAACTGACATGCCCAACTTTTGTAAAACTGAAAAGTCTTTGCATTCATTCCAAGGCCCCAGCATCCTTAAATATCTTGCTGGAGCGCTGGAAGGGAGAAAAGTCAGGGGACCTGGGCACTAGCCCTGAGCTCTGTTCTGTCCAAATGAAACAATCTCCCCAGGCTTTGTGGAAGGAATGGAGCCAATACTCTCAGAGGATGCCTTTCCTTATCCTGCTCTGGGGGCTAGGACCACTCAGAAGCCAGGTCTGAGACCCAGCCCTAAACTCTGGAGTGGGGGTGTGAGGAAAGGGCAAACATACTGACCTGCTGCTCATGGCCAAACAACTGGGGAATCAGGGAGGCCTGTCCAAAAATCTGCAGGAAAGAGAGGGGTAGGGTTATGGGGAGACCATGGTTGTGGACTGCGGTGGGGTATGCAGGCTTGTGAATGGTTGGTCTAACCTCCTTCCCAGACCAGTGAAAGCCCAGTGTCACTTGGGTCACTCCTTCAGGGGAAGGTGACTCCTTCCTTCCAGAGTTGGACATTGCCGAGGACTTGTAATCAGCTGTTCACAGGCTCCTGGGTGCCCTGTCTACTGCCTCTCACCTGGGCAGGCAGACCACCAGGGCCTACAGATTAGGCATATAGCCCAGGGCCTTCTCCTCTCTGGACATGGCCTACCTATTCCAGAGCCTGGTGGAATGGGTACTCCTTCTGGTAGGAACTGAGTCTCCAGACACACAGTCAGAGCTGGGTCACCTCTGACTTTGGAGCCGTATATGTAGTTCAAGTCACTCAAGGTTTTGAGGGTAAGGCTTAGGAGGGTCCCTAGACTAGAAGAGAGAAGCAGTGGGACGGGGAGGTAGTGGGTTCCAACCTGGTTGATTCTACGTGCATTTTCTTGTGTCAAAGGACAAACATGTTCAGAGTGCAAGGCAAGGTAGGGACTGCAGATGGGTGTGTGAGTGGGATAACATGGAGCCAGAGAAAAGTGTGAAGAAGAGATAAGACAGAGAGAGACAGGACAAACAGGAAGACTGAGATACATGAAAAAGACAGGGAGGGGAGCCATCCATTCAGCAAATACCTCTGTGCCCTATACTATGTGCTGGGGACACTATGGGGAACAAGACAGCAAGGTCCCTGCCTGCAGGAAGCTCCCAGTCTTAAGAAAGAGACAGGCATCAAGTTAGCAAGCACACAAACATAATTTCCAGGTAGTGAGAATTAACCAAGTAAGTATACATAGCCTTGGGGGCTCCTTTAGATGAAAGCCCTCCTAAGGAGGTGACTTTTGACCTAAAACCTAAAATGCAGTGAATAGCCAGCTTGCAAAGATTTGAAAGATGAGCACTCCTGGGCAGAGGGAAAAACAAAGGCAATGGGGCAGGAGTAAGGTGGAACTTTGTTGAGCCCGAGGAGCAGAATGGAAACTAGTGTGACTGCACAGGGCGAGGGGTAAAATGGGAGATCTTGTCCAAGAGGGAAGCCAGGTCTCATGGGTTGCACAAGGGCTCTGGCTCTCACTTGAGTGACGTATGAGCCATGGAGGTTTTGGAGCCAGGGTGTGAGATGATCTCACACACATCTTTTACCAGCTCACTCTGACCACTGAGAGTAGATTGGAGGTGGCAGATGACCAGGTCAAGATGACCATTCAGGTCATTTGGTGGGGCCTGGGTGAGGGGCAGAGGGTCACACAGTTTGGGGTGTCCCGTCCCTCCCTGAGTCTGAGGTTAGCCTCCTTGGAGTCTGGGAAAGACAATGCTGAAGGTGTGGGTCTAGGGAGGGCTTGGCAGAACAGGCCAGGAGTCATTACCTGGTGAGGAATTGGGTCCCCAAAGCCTTCAGTTTGGTTCTAAGCGGTATAATAGCTTTCTTTGGCCATGAAGCTGCACACAGTGGCACCTGTGCATGTGCCTGCACAAAGAGAAGGCTGGGTCTGCACCTGCCTGCCTCCACGGACTCAGTCTCTGCTCTCTCTGGGCCTTGTCTCCCTACCCACACCACTGGGATTGACTTTGCCTCGGCTGGCCCTCCCTTTGCAAATCCTAAACTACTGTGCTCCAGGTCTGGGTCATAGTTCTAGGTCCCTGTCCAGCTTTGCCTCTGCCTAACTGTGTGACCGCGCCTCTCTGTGCCCCAGTTTCCTCATCTATGAAATGGGGATGTGGATAATAAAGCCCAGGCTGGGGTGTGGCTGTGAAGACTCAAGGAACTCATAGTTGAGAATTAAAAGTGCAGCACAGTGTGCTTATCATTATTTGTGGCAGAGTTGTCTGTCCCTGGAAGTCCATGTTTCTACTGAGACAGGTAGATGGGACATGGAGACCCAGAGTACAGAAGCAACTTGCCAGAGGTGACAAGGCAAGATGATAATGATAAACATAAAGGTTATTACTTTCTGATAAGCACATTATGTTAGTTATTTCATTGATTGCTCACAACCCTTCAACATAGAATAATCACCCTCCGGTAGTAAATCAGGAAATTGAGGCTTAGGGAGGGGGTGCCTTGTCCTGGGTTGATATTTCAGTGCAAGATCAGGACTCAAACCCAGGTTTCCAGTTCCCTTTCTTCATGGCTTAGAGGCCAAGGAGCAGCAGCAAGGTCTAGAGGTCCCCACTGGCAATATGAGTGCGGCCTCTTCTTTAGGCCATGCATGTCAGACCATGATCTCTTACCAGTCACAAGATAGTCACTGGGGCAGAAAGACACACACAGGCAACTTCAAGAAAGACCAAATGGAAACACAGTGCAGACATCCAGGGACCACTCAAAAGGAGCGGGGAGTACATATGTCTGTGCTCCTGGGTGGGAGTGAGGGCTCTCCCAAGCCCAGTGATCTTCTGGCTGCCCACCACCCTCACCTGGCTGATGCAGCTGGAGTCGTTGAGGCTGTCGCCAATGGGGTTGTAGTCCTCCTCCCAGCTGGGACACTTGGAGGGCAGCAGCATGTCCACTGAATCCAGGCGGTCCAGACTCCTGATAGGGGGTGAGGAGCAGACAGGGCTCAGCCCACTCACTGTTCATCTTGGGACACAAAAGCCCAGGGGGTTAAGACTGGCAGAGAGAAAAATGGGTGTCGCTGCAAGCCTGGCTAGTGCAATAGGCAGCAATGAATAAGGGGAGAACTAGCTTTTAGAAGCCTATATCAAGCCTATATTAAGGCTTCTAAAAGCTATAGGATACAGGCAGCCTGTATCTGTCATGCCTGTTGCAGCCTCAAGGTGGCAGTACAAACTTGCATTTGATTGTTTCAAACCTGCGCGGGCCCAAACCAGCCTAATGCTATGGCCTTTTCCCTTGGTCTTGGGGGCTGGACCCAGACAGTCTGTCAAGACCCCTAGCCTTTACCTCAGGTTAGCACTGTCTAAAACTTCAGTTTTCACACATGTGGCCTCCAGCAGACTCCCAAAGATATCACTTTTCCTAGGCTCTTTAACCTTTCTCACATCCACTTGATCCTGGTCTTCCTCCTGCATTGCCCAGGGAATAAAGTCAAAGCAGCCAGCCAGCAGCTCAGGCCCGTGATATAGAAGGGCTTCAATTGCAATCCAGATTTCTCTCTGGGTGACTCTGGGTAAGTTATCACCCCTTGCTTAAGCATTAGTTTTCACACCTATATAGTAGGGATGGGATAAGGACTCAATGATGCAGACTGAAGTACACTGGGGCAAAACAGCCCAGAGGCAGCTAATGGAAGGCACCCATCATGATTACTGCCACTATTACTGATTTTTTCTCATTAAAGGTCTGTGCCCCAGACCTGCCCACTGCTCCCATGTCAATACCCATGGGACATTTGTAGAATGGTAAGATCTCAGGACTCTAAGGGGTCTTAGAGATCATCCAGCTCAGCCCCTTCACTTAAAGATGGGGAAACTGAGGCTCAGAAAGGGGCAGACTTGAGGTTGGCTGGTAGTGTACTAAATTCCCATCTGGAAGCTAGTCCCTGCTTTCTGTCTTAGCCAATGAGATTCCTAGTTTCTCAGAGGGCCTGCTTCTCCCTGGCTCAGTACTGTTATCTCCTGACTTAACTCTCTGCACTCTGCTGTAGTCTTCCCAGTCTACTTCCTCCGTGAAGTTGTGGTTCAAGCCCCGCAGTGGAAGAAATAGGACTAAACTTGTCTCCTTTTATTCCTCCAAGTCTTTCTGTTTGTTTATTGTTTTTGTTCACCCTTATCAATGATTCTGAATCTTCTATGCCAAGTTTTACCCACTTTGTACTTGACTGGATGGATTCTGTAACTTCTCTCCTACTCCATTCTGTTCTATTCCCACAGTGACTGCTCCTTGATAAAGGCTCACCTCTTTAACATTTCAATTGTTGCTTCCTGTTCATCAGTTTACTAACTCTTCTAAGTCCTAAAGCAACCGGATGGAGTTTGAATGGTAGAATTCCAGGCAGGGTGAAATCTGTCTATCTCCCTCCCTTTGACTTCTGGATTCATGCTTGTCCCAATCTTGGAGCTCAACAATTACAGGGGGACAGGCAGAGGGGGAATCTAGCTTCCCTGGGCAGTGATGGTGCACTCAAGGCAGGGTTCTCCTAACCTGAAGAAGTGGGTCCTTTGGGGCAGTTCCCCGGTGGCGTGGAACTTACCTGAGTTGCGGCTCCTGCGGGCAGGGTTTACCAGGCTCAATCATTCTAAAGAGGCTTTCCTGGTTTATCAAGGATGTGGCTCACCTGAGATCCAACTTGGGGATGGGGAGGACTTACATAAATGACAGGACTCTCCATAGTCAACTCATTAAAATTCAGGGGCTAACCTAAGGACATGGCTTTCAGGGACCAGGCTAACCCAAAGCAGGGCTTGGGGGTTGAATAGATGGGGAAGGGGGTGTTGAGTTCAGTGTGGGAGCGTTTACCTGAATTTGAGGTTGGAGGGCAGAAGAATTCATCTATAGGTTTTGGGCTCTTCAAGAATGGAGGTAGAGGAGGAGAGCGAGATTCTTGGGCGGGGCATTGCTTTGTGGGGCTAGCCTAGTCGGTGAGCTAGATCAGTGCGTGCAGTAAGAGGCTTTCCCAGGGGAGGGGTAGCTGGCTGGCGCGGTTCCCCGGGGGGGGGCGGAGCCCAAGGGGACTGGGTCGGCCTGTGGGCGGGGCTACCACAGGGGCGGGGCTCCTTCTAAAGGGATAGGCCACTTCGGGAGAACTCACTAGCAACTAGTTTCCGGTGGGTGGGACTCAACCCCCAAGGGGCGGAGCTTCCAGGCAAGACTCGCGAGTGAGCAGAGACCTCCCGGGACGGGGCTCTGAGTTCAGAGAGGCTCTCCCAGGGGCGGAGATCCCGGGGACAGGGCTTGCCTGGGGGCGGGGCTGCGCGCTCACCGGCGGGGGTTGCTCTGCTCTCCCAGAGACTGCTGCGTGGCCCTCAGGTAGCTCTGGCGCCGCGCCGCCGTCTTGGGTGAGGGTTTCGGGCTGCCACCGGACTCATCGCTGTCCTCATCGCCCATGGCCTTTATGTAGCTGCCGCTGCGCATGCGCCGACACGGGATGGGGCCCTCGGCGGCGGCGTCCGCGTCGCGCGGGGACAGTAGCGCGGTGCTCCACTCGCCACCACCGCCGGGCACCTGGGGATGGGCGGACAGGCCGCGGAAGGCTGGTACGGGCAAAACACACTTTCCTCTGCGCCACGGCCTCCCAGCTTCGGGCTGGGAAATGAGCCGTGAGCGAGAACCCCCTAGCTTCGGGCTCTGAAGCTCCCTCGTTCCCCACCTCCGAGAGTTCAGCCTTAGGTGTTGGGTGCCGCCATTGAGGCCACCCAGCAACAGAGCAGTTGGAAGTTCTGTCACAGCTTCACTGTGCCGTCTTAAGTGAAACCCTGCTGTAGATTTCTCCATGGATCTCAGGATCAGTGTGCCACATCAAAACCGTCCAACTCCGGTGATCACAATGGACCCCACCGACACTACCCTTCTGAGTCCCCACTGTGTTCCCATCACTTCTCCTGCTAGCTCAGAGGCTTATGGTCCTACTCCACACCCTAAACACTCCCAAACCCATCCTAGAAAGAGGGGGGAGACACCATAGCACATAAGTATGGAGATTAGGTCTTGGGAGCCAATCAATATGCCCTTTCCCACAGATGGTAAACCAAGGTCAAGTCAACAGAGGGGCTTTTGAGGACTGGGTAATCACATGGTGAGCTACAAAAAAAGGGCTCAGTTTTCCCAAGTGAAATTCAGGAACCCCATTCACGGAAGGGGTGGTAAGGGCAATTGAGGTCAGGACTCAGTCAAGAGGACTGTGAGGAGTCCTGGTCCCAAGGGGTTATGGTGGCAGAACCTAACTGAAGAGCCCCCCTGGCCCTCTGAGGCCAGGCTCTGCCAGCTACTCCGGGGCAGCACACAGCCGATAGCCCACATTTACCTAGTACACACTTGTTACAGGTGCACACCTGGGTGTTCACCTCATAATGACTGGTGGACATGCCTTGCCAAGTACTCTTAACTCAGGGAACAAGCACACCTCCCACACATACCCATGGTATCAAGGACACACACACTCCAGTAACTACGTCATCATGTGTGCCCCTTTTCAGACACACCCCTTTTCACACACCAGCAACCACTGCATGGTGGACACATCTCAACAGAACCCCTCCTGTGTCATCAACACAGCGCACACCCTCACATCCCTTCACCACGGATGCCCACATACATCCCTTTCTCAGCATATACAGCAAACCTGCTCTTTACCACGTGCACAAATGCACGCTCCTATTAACACCCTGGCACAGGTATCACAACATTCTTGGTGCTCATATTATCCTCTGGTTGATTCCCTGCTGAGGAAGAGTCCCTTTCTGGGCTTCCACTGTGGGGCCCTTTCAACCTTCTCCTGAATATCCTCTTCCCCCACAGCTGACTTCACAGCCAGTCACTAGGGCCTGCACATTCTACCTCCTAAACCATTTGCTAATACATCCTCCTTACTTCCATTTTGGGAAGGCGATCTTGGACATTGCTGCTTAGAACCTGTGGCTAGCCCAGCTCCCACAAGCCCACCTCTTGTCACCCAACCAAATAGCACAAATCCCCAGGCCTGCAGGGTCACCCTTTTATGGTCTGAAATCTTTTCACATGGCCAGACCAAACCAAACTGTTCTAAGATGGAGCCAAGTCACACACCACTCCCTCCCTGTCTGTAAACTAACGAAGAAAATTGAGAACCTCAGCTACCTTAAATATATAAAATACTGCCTGAATTTCCTTTCCTCCCTTCACAGTTTCACTGTCTTTGAGATTTTATACAGTATGACAACTTAGGGCTCTGTCGGAATTTGATGTTCATCTGGTTCAAAATGTATCTAACATGCTCCCAAAGGCTGGCGAGGCCTGTGCTGGCATAGTCCCCAGGATGAGTCGCTTGCTACCTACACAAGCAGCCCCTTCCGTCTCAATGGGGACTGAAATCTACTTCCTGTAACTTCCCTCCACAGCCTGGACTCTATGGTCGAGAGCCCTGAGAAAGTTAGTAGTCTTGGTGCTTAAGCACTACAATAAAGTTAGTTCCCCAAACTGTGTTAGGATCTCAGGGCTCCTGCATCCCTCTGCTCTGGTGTCCATCACAATGCCCACTGTCCATGCTGACATGACTTTCCATGCATCTCTCTCTCCCAGCGTCCTAATCATCAGCACTACATCTTATTGTTAGCTTTGTTCACTTAAATGTCTACCTGTTCATCTGCCCTTCTCTCCTCTCATATTTCTTGAGCATTTCCTCTTTGTCAGACCCTGTCCCAGCTTTGGGGACACAAAGCCACATCTGAAGCTGTCTCTGTCCCCAAGCAATCCCATGCCTTCAAGAAATGCTATTTCATTGCTTCTATGAAGGGGGTGGTTGGCATAGCTTTCCAGATTTGTTTTCTAAACGGCAGGGGCATGTTTTGGTTCCTACTCAGGGCTAAGGTCAAATGGCCCTAGTAGAGTATCTGCTGAGAGCACAGTCAGCAGGAATTCCCTTATTAGCATCCATTATCAGCCATGTGTGCATGGGGAGTCAACAGAGGCTCAGAGAAAGCAACTTCTCAAGTATACCTGACCTCAAAACTAGTGCTTTTCTCACACCCCTTTTGTCCACCCCATCCCACGCAGGGACCTACCTGCAGGTAGTGGTAGGCTAGACCCTGGTGGCAGGATTTGGACTTTAGCAGGCTCTTATCCAAGGTGGCTGAGGTCTTCTGGCAGACCTCGTGGGCATGGCTGAGGGTCAGAGTGGACCAGGAGCCCCGCTTAACATAGTTGGTGTCAGTTCCCACCCCAAGGCTGGGGCAGGTGGCTGGGGGTGCGGGTGGGGGTGGCGGGGCAGTCAGCTCAGCAGTGTTGTTCTTGGTGGCTTTGAGCATGTGCCCGCTGATGGTGTTGTAGGCATGCATGAAATAGCGCGGCTGGCTGCGTTCCGCCTGGCGGCCTAGAGTCATCAGCCCCGAGGCTGGGCCACTGCTGCGGAAGGCGCCACCCTCGCCATCCAAGTTGTCATCAGAGCTCCACCAGCCAGAGATGTTGGAGCGGCTGCGCCGCTTGGGCTCCCCAGCCTTGGCTCGCTCCTTGCTCTTGGCCCTTCGGCCTTTGCCGTCCTCCAAGCCACCTTTCTTGCTGCCATTGCCACCCATCTTGCCGGCTGTACCCTCCAGTGAGGGTGCCTTGGTGAAGAAGAGCCGCTGGACAGAATGGACCAGATGGCGGATGCGGCCAGGACTCTCGCCCCGGGCCTTGGCCTCACCGCGGGGGAACTGGAGCGTGCTAAAGCCATCTCGGTGGATGGGCAGCTGCTTCTCAAACTGGTCCAGGAGGTTGGCGGGCAGCCGGTTGATCTTGGTGGCCTGGGCATGGCTGGGGAAGGGGCTCTCCTCTGGCACCTCGAAGTGGGAGTTATAGTGGATGCGAGGGAAGGTGCTGCTTGGAGGCGGCAGCTGGTTGTTGAGCGGGAAGAGCCCATCCCCTGGCAGCGCATTCTGCCCGGGGAAGCGAGCCTCACGGGCAAAGGCCTCCGTGGGCGACAGCAGGTAGGGGTTGCGGTCAGGCCCTCCAAACAGGGGCTCGTGGGGTGGGTCCAGGCTGTCAGAGAGGTGGCGGGGGCGGCTGTCACCGAGGCCTTTCATGATCCCGGGCCTCAGGGCAAGGGCCGTCGCCCTATCGGGGCGCCCGGGTTACTTCTCCCGGGCGGCAACTGTCCTGGGGAGAGAAGACAAAGAGAGAAGTCAGTGGGACTCAGAGGGGACAGAGTGCTGGAAAGGTTAGTCAGATCCTTGTAGGCCTCAGGCTTGGGAGGATTTCTGAAAATTTTCAGTTGCTCTGAACATAATGGGGCTGAGGACAAGAATGAAAAGGGGGGGTCAACATACCATCAGTACAAGTGGCAGTTACAATTCAAGTGAGGCAACTATTAAAGTATGCTCCATTCTCCTTTGAAGACTATATTTTCATAATAACTTGGAAAACCAAGTCTGAGGTCAGACTTACTCGTTTCCTCCAAACATGGTGGTGGTGGGGAACTCACTGCCTTTCCTCCATATTGCCCCCACCCCTGACTTTCCTGCACATGCATACACCCCAGCCTGCACGTCCAAGTGTACTTCACATATGCCCCAGATAGCCATCCTCCAGGCCTAGAGATGGCCCCACTGGCAGTACAGAACACCCGTGGGAAAAGCCCATGCTGCCTCTGGATGCAGGCCTGTGGTCATTCCTTGTATAGGCAATTCCAGGTCCCAGTATCCAGAGTGTGCTCTAAGGGAGGGATGTGGTTCTGGATGGGATGTCTCCTTGGCCCCTGAACACTCCTTGTCTCATAGAGGAAGATCAAGGTCAAAAGAAGGCCAGAGTGGCCCTTGCTGTCCTCCATGCCACCTTGCTTGCTCTACAGAGTAGGGGCAAGACAGGGGCCTGTCATCTTCCCTGGGACTGCCCAACTCTATTTTAGTAGTGGAACCATTAATGTCATATGTAAACCTCTGTGAAACCCACACTGTTCCTCAACAAATGTACCACGTGTGACCTCTGGGCTAGGTGCTGGGGCGGCAGACATCTGAGAAGGTCAACTAGCCCATCAGCCCATCCTTTCCAACTGGGATGAATCAATGACGGCCATGGTGAAACAGAGTTCTTAGCCCGTCGATAACATGAGCACATCCTCAGGATTGGGTACACAGGAGAGAGGACGGTGTAAGATGGAATCACTGTGCCTCGGTTTCTCCATCTGCAAAATGAGGCAGTTCTGGTGGACCAGCCTGGAACCACCAGTTCCAAATTTAGGCAGGTCCCTTTCCTTTTCAGGACTGCAGTCTTCACATCTGTACCATAGAGCAGAGGGGAGGTCAGTGAGGTGTCTAAGCCCTGCTTAGAAGTGTCCCAATGCTTGGTCTGGCCTGTGTGCTTGACCTACTTGGGATCTGAAAGGAATCAGTGTGGCTGGAGCAGAGCAGGTGGGGGGCAAAGAATCCTGGAAGGTCTGGGTGAGGTCAGAGTGCGCAGACTCTGGCTGAAGCCAAGTATGAGAGGCAGAATGATGGCGCCCAAAGATTCCTGTTCCTAATCCTCAGAACATGGAGCCTGAGCAGAGGTCTGAGTGATACAAGGTCATGAGCCAAGGGGTGTAGGTAGCCTTGAGCAGCAGGGAGAATCAAGGAGGCAGATTCTCCCCTACAGCTTCCTGAAGGAGTGCAGCCCCGTGACCCATTTGAGGCTTCTGACTTCTATCACTGTACATAGTAAATCTGTGTGTGTGTTTAAATAATATAATAATTTATTTTTACATCATTTTGTGCATTTTTCATCTCAGTTGTAATCCCCATGGGCTTCCCATCACCAAATCACCCATGTGCCATCACCATAGTCCAGTGCATTTCCCTCCCCCACTGTTTTTTAACCCCATTCCTCACTCCACACCCATAAAGTGTCTCTGGTATACAGCTGTTTGTTCATTGTTATTATTTTCTTGCCTGGTCTGTTATACTACTGCTATGAGTGAAACCACCTGGTATTTTTCCTTTTATTTCTGGCTTATTTCACTAAGCATGATCTC